AAGGTGGCACATAGACAGCAGGGGATATGGAGTGCAAGTGAACACAGAGTTCAGATCCTTCCTTGTTTCGCCTCACCCACCCTTCTCCTAAAAACAAATGATTTTGCAAATTTCTTAAACAGTGAAATACAATCTTTCTTTTCCTGTTCAGAGAGAACTTGTCATTCTGTAAAACTGACTCAGGTAACAAAAGTGCAGACGCCATCATTAATTATCTGCTGGGTTTGGAACATGGGTTATTTCACAGAACCCAGAGGCAGGACTTTATGTCTTGGAGGCATGTGGTATATGTACATAAACGTGCTGCCAACTACTCATGATCTGCAGAGAGCAAGTGCAACACCTGCGAGCCAAGGTAACTGGAGAAACTGAAAGAGAAAATTCTGTTTTTAGAGAAACAAGGAGTATACTCTGAAGCTGAAGATCTGGCACCAAGAAGAGTAGAGGATGTAAGTGGTGGACAGGTAGATGAGCATCCCTCTAGCAAAATCTAAGCTGCCTTTGCGGGTGTGCTTTTACAACGTAGGCTACCATGCAATATAATCTTCACACAGACAAAACACCCTTTTGTTTTATTTAGGTTCAAAGGTCAACCCAAAGGTATTGCTCAACTGTAGTGAGCTGAAATAAACCACACTTTTCGTTTTTTTCCACCAGTATTGCACACTAAGGTATCTGAAAAACGCATCTCTCTTCCCAATGAAGAAACGAACTGTGCCATGCCAAAGAAGAAGGTGGACAGAGTTATTCAGAGAAACCTACTGAGGTAAGATGAACCCTGGGTGAGCTGCACAGCCAGAAGTTTGCAGGTGCAAGAAGTGTAACACCTTGTTACCTCGTTCTCTCAGGTAATTCCCACAGCTCTTCCCAGGATTTTGTGTGTAATTCATTGCCACTTGCTTCCCGTATTTCAGTATGATCTCAGGGGCCTGAATCTCCACATGGCCCTTAGGGCCCCTGCATTCAGGCAGCTATGGTGCCTGGTCCAAGCAGCTCAAGAGCAGGAGTTATGGCCAAGGCAAAAACAAATCAAAGAAGAGCAGCATGGATGGGAAGGGTTAATGCAGAAGGTGATCAAAGTTGACCCATTTCATTTTTTTTTTTTCTGAGAAAAATACTTCCTGATTAAAAGTCAGAAGACGAGGTCTCAAAAATGTGAAACTTCCAGAAAATCTTTTTAACAGAATTTCCTCCTCTTTTTAATATACCACTGTTCACACAGCCACATGTATTGTTTTGCTGGTATTATGCCACACTTGGAGCAAGCTTTGTGCTTTGTGTGTGTTTCTGATAATCCCTGTGACCATTTTATTATTCACCTGAAAGATTGCACATCCTCACCTCACAAGCTGTAGAAGTGAAGCAAAAATTGAGCAGCTCACATAACCTGATCTTTGCTCAGGGCAGCAGCAACCAGGGAACAAGCAGGAGAGATGTGGCAAGCCCATTTTGACTTTATTTTGTTCCCCTAACTGAAAATTAGCCATTGAGCTCAGAAAGGATTGACCTGTACCATGTCTCCAGAGAGCAGTCTGAAAATTAAATCCTTTGAGAAAGGGCTCTCCACGGCTGAACCATATATTCTTTTTAAATGTATCCTTAATTTGATACAGGGCTACTGAAACCACATCTGCACTATAAAGAAAGGAAGCAACGCACTAAGGAATCAATACCAGTTATCTCAGATGGAGACCTATAGTTCCCGAATGCACTGCAGGACTGGATGATGGACTGTTGGTGCTAGACTGCAGTCTGTCCTTTCACTTTCTTCAGAGTTCTCTCCCCAAAAGTGAAGGGGGAAAATGGCTTCTTCTACTACTCACTTTACTGTCTCTAATCAAAAGTAATTGAATCAGCAGAAAAAAAATGGCCTGTGGAGGAAAAAAAAGATTTATGTGCATTAAGAAAGTAAAAGGAAATCATGGGTTGCACATTATTTAATGGGCGGAAAACAACAGTTTTCCACCCCTGATTTTTCACCTTATCACCACATGAGAAGATTATGTTAGGGCAGCCTAAGGTGGAGATGTCAGCTTGGAGTAATTATACGGCCATTCATTCAGCTGAAGAATGGTTTGTGACAGCTTAGTTTAAGTTGAATGACTCCTCAAATGAAAGGAAGGGCATATGACAAGGTAAATAAGTTGTTTAGAAACAAGCTGCTACTTTCTTAGTTAAACAAGCCTAAGGCTTAAATTTAAGCAGTGACCTGAGATACCTAGTTGCTCATGCAGAATTTGGATTTCCTCCTGGAGATGATTCTTTTTTTCTCTATAGATGCTTAGGAGTAGCGAAGAGCAAATAGCCTCAGAAATTGGAGTCACAGAAAGGTTAAGGTTGGGAGAGACCTCTAGAGATCACAGAATCAAACAGAATGATTGAGGTTGGAAGGGACCTCTAGAGAGGATCTCTAGACCCATCTAGTCCAACCCCCTGCTCCAGCAGGGCCACCTACAGCAGGTAACAGAGGATCACATCAAGGCAGGTTTTGAATATAACAACAGAAGGAGACGCCACAACCTCTCTAGAAAGCCTGTTTCAGCACTCTGTTACACTGTTATTTCTAATACGCAGATGAAACTTCCTATGTTTCAGTTTGTATGCATTACCCTTTAGTATGCCCCTCCTAATGTCACTACTCCTGTGGTTCTAGGCTTTCTCTCTCTCTTAACCCTAACCCTATCCCTAAGCCTGAAGTCACCAGCCCTAGTGCTGGCTAACCGACAAATATGGTCCTAGAACCAGTATGGATATTTGCTACATTTCCTTTGGCATGCCCTTTAAAGCCCCACTTCCCTTGGGGCTCTAGGCTTTCTCTCTCTCTCAACCCTAAAGGTAGCCCTAAGCCTAATCCTAGGTCTATACCTAACGCTGGCCCTAGCACTGGGGTCACCAGCACTAGAGCTTGGTCACCAGCAAAGATGGTCCTAGCAGGCTACTGCATAGAGTGCTATATTTCCTCTGGCATGCCCTTTCTATCTCCACTCCCCATGGGGCTCTAAGCTTTCTCTCTCTCTTAACCCAAACCCTAGACCTATGCCTGAGGTCACCAGGCCTAGAGTCTTGTAAAGGGCAAAGATGGCTCTAGCGCCAGTCTTGATACAGCACTACTTTTCTTTTGGCATGCCCTTTCTAGCCCACTTCTTCTGGGGATCTAGGCTTTCTCTCTCTCTCTCTTAATCCAAACCCTAGCCCTAACCCTAACCCTGAACATAAGTCTGTGGTCACCAGTCCTAGTGCTTGGTCACTGGCAAAGATAGTCCTAGCACCACTCTGGATATCAGGCAACATTTTCTTGGCATTCTCTTTCTAGCTCCACTACCCAAGGGGCTCTAGACATTCTTTTTCTCTCAAGCCTAACCCTGGCAATAATCTAACCATAGCCCTAACCCTAACCATTGCCCTAAGTCTGAGGTGACCAGGTCTAGAGCTTGGTCAACAGCAAAGATGGTTCTAGCCCCAGTCTAAATATAGGCTAGGTTTCTTCTTTTATGCACATTCTAGCCCCATGGGACTCTAAACTTTCTCTCTCTCTTAACCCTAACCCTAGCCCTAAGGCTAATCCTAGCACTAAGCCTGAGGTGGCCTGGCCTATAACTTAGTAAACTGCATATAAGGTCCTAGCACCAGTTGGGGATAGCACTACGTTTCCTTTGGCATGCCCTTTCTAGAACCACTCCAAAAGTGTTTCTAGGCTTTCTCCCTCTTTTAACCCTAACCGTAGCTCTAACTCTAACCCTAACCCTAAGCCTGAGGTCAGCAGGCCTAGAGTTTTACCCACAGCAAAGACGGCCCTAGCACAAGTCTGGATGTCGCATTATATTTCCTTTGGCCTGCCCTTTCTAGCCTCACCGGGCCTAGAGTGTGGCGAACTGCAAAGATGCTCCTAGTACCACTCTGTATATTGCGCCAGGTTTCCATTGTCATCCTCTTTCTATCTCCACTCTCCATGGTGCTCTAGGCTTTCTCTCCCCACGAAAGCTTGAGGCTTTCTCTCTCTCTTAACCTGAAACTAGCTCTAATCCTAACCCTAGCCCTAAACCTTAGTTCACCAGGCTGAGAGACTGGTCAATGGCAAAGATGGTCCTAGCACCAGACCATCTAAACCATTAGATGACCATTTAGACCATCTATATTAAAAACTGAAGCTACCTACTAGCTATTGGACCAGAAGAAGACTAACAGAAGTCTACCTTATAGGCATATAACAAGTGGTTAGGCTTTTCTGTCCAACACTGCTTTTCTCTGGAGACTACAGAAAAGAGGCATTTGTAGAGGGAGAATAATGCCTAATGGATTTCACAGAAGACACAGCTCCTCTTTTCTTCAGAGACTTTATCTTTCATTCCCACCCAGCAAAGATCGCAGCATCCACAAGACCTGCAATAGTACCACACCTGTGGGGTCCCCACACCACTTTGCAGAACAAGAATTTATCCAAGATCTTCTCTCTGACACAGCAATTTTCAGAGTTTTTTTTCTTCCATGTAACTTCTCTCTTTCAAAACACTATCCCTAGCTCTGCCTATTTTCTAGTCAATATCTAGTAAACATCAACATCTACCCAGACTTTTGTGTGAGTTTCCGGATGTCTTTTCCATGGTAACCATATTGCCAAAGTCTCTGAACTTAGAAAGACAAGATGACTGTGTTTTTTTTTTTTCCACTGTTTAGTGCTGTGGCATGATATGATTGTGCTCATTTGTTTTATTCTTTAAGACCATTCAGTCTATTAAAATTAACACGGTAGATGCATTCTGTCCTAATAAATTTTTTCCTCTATGTAGTTCAAACTTCTGCACACTCTTAACTCTTCTTAACTTGTTAGCTCTTAAGAAGGAATGTGGATTTTTGAGGAAAATAAAATCTGTACCTGTTTCCTCACATGCGTATTTCCTTCCACGGGGATGTTGTAAGCACTCTGGATCAAATTCTTAGCAATGAAATAATAATATACGGAAATGACAGACAGGGGAATGATATAAAAGATCAGAAATGAAGCCATTGAATGGATTTTGGGATGTAGCCCATCAGAATGTGGGTAAGGAGCACAGCTGACGAAGGTTTTATTAGTGCCTTTGTCATGGAAGGGGTGCAAATCAGAAAACACAGCTTCGGGAATGGCAAGCAATATGGAAACAATCCAGATTATAGCAGCTCTCGCACAAATCTTCATCAGTGCATGGGATGCTTGGATCTCCATTGGTCTTACTATAGCTTTATACCTAAGAAAAGAAGAAAAAAATCATTTACCGACCTCAGCGCCGATCAGTTGGAATACTTGGGCAGTGTATTTGTGCTTGTCATTCACAGATACCTTCCATTTATAGAAAGCATACAAAAATCATTTTATCATGATATATTTTTTATTGGTGTTTGAAATTTCAGTTTGATGGATTTGTCATTTCAAAGCAGAACCACCTGACATACGTTCATTCAATTTCATGCGTATTGATTCTGAACTCATTTAGCTTGTAACTGATCTGACGAAGCACAGTCCTGCCTGACATTAATATGTATGTGTCCAAATAACATTAAGATAGGCAGTGTAAATCACAGGGTTATCTTAAAAAACATATGAGAATTTACACCCCTTTACAGTATCCTATTCAAAGAAACTAGAAGGGTTATTGAATTTGCAGATATTGCCACACGTTTCTTTTAGAGCTGTGAATACACAGCCTTCTGCAAAGCCAAATCTTAAGTTTCTGGAGGCTGCAAAGAGCATGTTGACTTTCTTGAAGAAAAATACTGCTTCCTATGCTATATAGGTAGATGAGATTTTTTGCTATTTTGCTTTTCCCAAGTTCAGCCTTTTGCAAAAATCATATTCTAGAATTCAAGAAAAGAAAAGAACTTATTTTAACCTGATATACCGAACAGGAAGACCAGAACAGCCCTAATCTGGCAGGAACACGCACTATAAATAAATTACAATTCACATACATACTTAAGGAAAACTCCAAAAGAAAGAAAAAAAAAAAAACGGAAGAAATATCTATGTCTCTTTTATGAGCAGACCATCTTCTTAATCATCATAATCTTGCCATTTTCAGAATTGCTCTGTTAGATGCTTTTTTCCAGGATCTACCTCTCGCACTTGCCATGGCTCACTTGGCCCCATGGTCTCTGTCCACTCTATGGACTTGCTGAGACCCTGATCCATCAACTGCCCTGGCCCATCTGTCATGGCAGGGTACTTTCCATTCCCCATGTGGTTGCTCCAGAGACTGTTTCTCAGTTCCTTCCAGGATCCCAGCTCTTTAACCAGCTGAATTTGGTCCTGAGATGGGAGCGGAATAGTGCTCTGCTTGAGGCATGACGGCACAGGAATGTGAGCTTCAGCAGCCTGAATGTGAGCTCCAGGGACACAGCACACGTGTGTGACAGGTGTCCTATATGCTGTAGTCTGTACACCCCAGAGCTCATCATTTTACATGGGAGTCTATCAGTAATGCACTTGTGTTGTTTTGTTTCTTCTGCAGAATTGCCTCATTTACGGGATAAGCATGCATTCAAATTCGAGTTATACACACTCTTCAGCACACCTAGTCTCTCTCTGCATATGTAGATATGTGTGTACATATACATGTGTCTATATTTCTATGTAAATATATGCATATTTACACAGGTATATACATAAATACATACATATAAACTTTATATTTAAAGACTGCATGTGGACATCTTCCCATATGCAGATATTTCTCCATATGATTCCACAGGTGTCTAGCGTAGATAGGCTGCAAACATTGTGCTCATTAGACTTTCATTTAATTGATGTTTTGCCAAGCTCTTCCCTTACCGAGGCTATACAGCTATTCTGTTTTTCATGCTGGCCTCACACTGCTTTAACTTGTACTCTAAAGCTGGAGGTTAAGTGGTGGTCATACTACAAAGCAAAATCTTCCAGTGCAAGATCATCTTCTCAAGTGAAGAAAATCACAGCATTTAAACAAATACGGTGTTACAACTGCTACAGTAATAAACTGGAAGAGATAGGCAGACTGTTAAAACAATGCAGCTAAAATAGCTCACATTATAGTCCAGTTCACTGTTTATATTTTATTGGCAGAAACACTAGCTAACTGGACATCTTCAGTAAACTTTAAAGAGAATAAATATAAAAAGAAAAGAATTACATATCTAAGTATCAATAACTTTAGTTAATTCAAAGTTATTTCTATGGGTGCTTATTGTATATTTATCACTATAGCATAGTAGCATAATTATTTCAGTATGTTTTTAAATATAATATAGCCATCTGAGAAACTATTGTTCAGTGTTGGTTTCCAGTAATGTGAATGAACGGAAATATACAGAGAGAGAGGGAGATTCCATTTTGTTTTTATGAACATAAGAAGATTAGGGAGAGCCAGAAAATGAATGCACTTCAGGTTATTAGTTCATTTCAATTAAAGATGGCATTTCTGAACAATATAATTTTGAAAGAACATAACTACAAATGGCTAGGAATGCTGGCACTGATTATTAGGCATTTATTTTACAAAGCCTGGTACAATAGCTACAAAGAAGATTTATGAAAGGTTTGGGATGCAAAGTGCTCATTATAGACGCAAATCTACAGAGGTCAAAAGTACAAAAAACAACAACAAAAAAACCCTGTGGAAATAGGTTTTGAAAATGTAGGTTCTTAGACAGAAAAATATGGATACATGTTTTCTAACAATGCTGGCAATTGCATCAAATTATTTTACTGACTATGACTTACTTTATGGTGAGCTAACTTCCTCAGAGATCTTCAGCAATTTATTTTCATCTGAATATTAATGCTGAATGTTCAATATTGACCTAGTGGGAATCTTTATTTCCAGTTGCATTGCTATTTGAATGGGTGTCTCTCTGGCTTATGTTTCCACAGCACTATTTTCCCATGTCAATTTTGGCTCTGGCTGCAGAAGTTTATCCTCTGTGAGGACACACCGGATTGTGCACCTATTACCTCCCAGCCCTGGGTTGGGGAAGAGCTCCCTGTGGTCTGTGCTCAGAAAGTAAAAAAGCTGCGTGTCTTGCTTGATCATTGAGCAGAGCTCATATGTTTACTCCTCTGCTTTTTTTATGACATTTTCACAGGAGACAGTTCTGAATTTTATAATTTGTTTAAAATTTCTTAAGAATTGCAACAAGCTGGACTGGTTTTGAGCAGTAGCGAGTACTCTTTTTTAGCATCTGTATTTTCATCTCAAGTGTCAAATATGTTTGCAAGCTTTCCACAGCTTTGTCTGGTGCTCTTCTTTGTCAGTGATTAATCTCTCCCTAACTCTCCCCAGAGGATCTCTCTGCTCTCCCCAGGTCCATCAGGAGAGAGTCGGCCATGCCTGAGCCAAGTTGTGAGGTTCTCCCCCCAGACTGCTGAGCACAGTTTTTCTGCTCTGCACAATCAAGGCAGTTGTGACCAGCATCATGGCAATAAACTCAGTCATGGTAGCTTCTGATTTCTATGGTAAGCCACTCATGTGAAGATAGGAGCCATGTCTAATCCATGCCATTTGCATCTCCAGCAAACAAATTCTAACTTTTAGCATCACTTATTGCTACAACACTCTGTCTCCTGTGAAAAGTACAGGTGGAAGGTAAGAAGCTCAGGTGTAAATGGCTAACATATAGCTGACTGAATTTGTATGAATTGAATCCAATTTCCATATCTTCATTAGAACAGGGGGATGTAACGCATCTCCTCCACTAAAAGTATTGGAGAGAAGAGCATCTACCTAGGCTTCTGCCATAGTCAGTGAAGAAAGAGGCAATTCCAGCAGTGATTCCTCCAGGCGTGAAACAGACATCTGTGAGGGGGAGCATGGCAAAACCTCAGGAGTTGCCTCTATTTCCATTTTCTGTAGAGGGAGTCTGGACAGTGAGAGGAGTATCTTCACAGGCAATTTCATGGCTAAATTTAGGAGTGAGCCTGAAGTACTTAACTTTCCCATACTTATCTTACATCATTGGAATACTCTAATCTACTTTGAAGAAGACCTTGAAGAATATGTCCACATACCTCAGTGGAGTTCCAAACCTTATGCAAAGTTTCTGCAACAGTGTTATTATCAACCCATGCAGTAATATTAGATCTAAGAGCATGTGTCAGCTTGTCTGCAATGAAACCAGTCATGGCTTTGGGTTTATCACATCTATTTCCTCTTTCATTACACCTCTTCCTCTCTAATTATTCTATGATACTGCTGTTTTTCAGATGAACTCCATCCCCAACCTGCTCTTAAAGAAATTCTTAAAAAGGATTAAAAATCAAGGATATGATTCATGCACCACAATAAAGGCCAAAGCTTAAAAAGAAAAAATGTGCTTTCTGAGTACTCAGCTGAATAAAAAATAATACAATTAAGAACTTGAATCAAATCCAATCTCTCTCCAGCTGTCAGACAGCCCAAATGAAAATGACTAGGTTACTGATTTGGCTGGGAATATGAATGAGATGCTGACCTTTCCTATGGCTCATTCTATGGACTTCTCTGTTCCCATCACACTTGCTAGGCTGCAACCTGCCTTGCACACAGCAGCTACGAAGGAGGTGCTGGTGTTCCCTGTGTCTCATTCTCTGCCAATACAAACAAATCACATATGGGGCTTTTTTTTTTTAAGAATAAAAGAATCAACCCAGCATCTTAAGTCCACAGTAAGTGTAATAATTGCAAGTTAACCTCAAAAGTATTGCCAAGGGTGAACATCTCATTGTAAAGCTCTGGTATATCAAAGTAGTTTCCCAAAGTGCCTTTAGTATTCAACTGCACAGATGAATTTGCATCTTCACTCTAAATAATGGCTCTGATGTGGTCCCTATTCTCCAGAGCTGGTCTCCAAGACTAGGAGGGGGAACCTGGTCACGGAGCTGCTTTAGCACCTGTGCTTCAGGTTCAAGCGGCAAAAAGGATTTGGGAGCTGTGTGACACAACGTGCTTAATCCACCTTCGGAGGCAGGGCCAGTGCTACCTGGGTATCCTAATGAAAACTCACCCAGTGCACTGTCTTGGCATAACAGTTCAGTAGCATACAGTGCACAGCCATTTTGCAACTAATCCCAGCAACAAGAGTTCAATTTCTGATTGAATTTGCTGTAATCACTAGAATTATTTTTAAAGCATGGCAGAAGAGATTGGTAGGAACTCAAAGAGTGTGTCCTTCTCCATCGAATCCTGGAAAACATCCTGTATTGTCTCTTAGGATCTTTATTGTGCTCATTGGATATGTG